AGAAACTAGAGTTTCTCGCTCATTCTTCTGAGGGCAATCTGCCTTACGAATAAGCGGTAGAGTTTAACCAATGTGACGATTTCAAGTGTAATAACGCTTCCCTATGAAATAAAGATTATTTTGATTTTGATTTTGATCAAACGTCTCTCATCAATACCAAAAAGTATTGATAGCTCGGATAAATTTCCAACACTGTTCCAATATTGGATTTCCAAATTGTGGTCTGCATATGTGGACCTCTGCAAACCATCTACAAAAATTCGTCACTATCGAGGTGCAAATGCAACATATTAAACTTAGATATGATATTAAAAAGTACCACACAACATGTCACGGTATCAGCGGAGAATTACGATACTCACTGAAAATTTTTAACTTACCAGATATACAACTTTCAGTTGAATTTTAAAAGCCAAATACAAACATTCATGCGCCAATCGGCATTATATGACACAAGTACAGAAACCGTACACACAATTAATAATTTAGACGTTGTCACTACGACATAAGATCGCATTCCGACACACTTCCATATATCATTTCATCGAAATTATACGCGGAAACCTACTGTAACTATCTGGAATAAAAAAGAAAATTACAGCTTTAAACAAATGCCAAAAAAATAATACAAAAAACAATTTATCTTTCAAAATAACACTCCCACTTTTAAGCAACAGCAAGGATAATTCATGCGATCAAATTAATTATATGAAAAACAAAAACATTTCATGTGATTACACTACGTAACCAAACCCTTGTGCAAAAAAGTAGTATTCTAATTCGCTGCAAAACATACCAAAACTAGATTCCAGGGAGCAAATTGAAAACAACAGCATAGAATTACATATTTGTATAAGTTGTATGTTTCGCACAATAGGATGCAATGCAATTTTGCAAAACGTAAATTGTGCAACAACAATTTGTAACTGTATTAAGTAATACCGCATAAAGCTGTGAAAGAGAGACTATAGCAATCTATTTATAAACCCGTTAAGGGGATTGTAGTAGATAGGTTAAATTTAAGATCCATTGTTAATTGTTTTTTTTTTACAATAAATAAACAAAAGCAGTAGGAAATAGTTACTCTAATTTCGTCAAGAAATATTTTTTACAATTTAGACAGTTGTCTAAGCAAGTTTACTTAACGAAGTTCTACCAGCTACCGTAGAATTAAAAAGTAACAGAGCCCACTTACATTGAACTGAGGTGCCTTATATATCAGGCTTGACCCCCGGGGGCCTTTATATCAAATAAAAACTGCTAAAATAAAACCAAAACGCAACCGTATTGTTTGAACCAACCACACAGCAACAATTTACACAGCAACGACATTATCGAACTTGACAATCCTTGTACAGCGATTATGAGTTTACGACGGAAGCACCAGTGATATCACAAATGCTCAATACCTTGCCAAATCACTCCTTCGAGATACGACAGTGATCGCATTTCATCAACATTACTTTAGCTGACCAGGGACTAAGACATCTCAAGACATATCATCAACGAGCGAGCATTTATGAAGACATTGTAATGAACAGAATTCTTGGATTACTCATATTTATTTGTTTACTTATTTAGTTATACAGGGTGAAATAAAATCAATGGAATATGAAAAGGTTTAATGCTTAAGATAGCCAATTTTACTTAAAGGAAATATTGTTGTATTTTTCTTAATTAGAATAACTGCATACACAGATTTTTGAACAACTTACTTGAGCTGGGAATCGAACCAATTAAAATTGCAAAAAAATAATCACTATCTATTTTAGAGTACTAATCGATAGGATAATGATAAAGATAAAATCTCTACAATAAACACTGTTCTTATAATTAAAGACGTCCATGAAATTAAATTAATACCCAAAAACGCTCATTAACATTACCTAACCAAGACTTATTATTTTTAATGATAAAAAGACACGTTATATATTTTTTTAATTTCTTGCACCTCTGGACTTTTTAAGGGCCATGTAAAAAAAAAATTACATAAATACTAATGAGACTGTCGCAGAATTAATGATTGATGTATAAAATTTTATTATGAGGATCAAAAACAATATTGTGTGCAGTTTTAACGGTTAATACCCGCGTGTCCTTCGTGTTAGAGTCGATAGTAATATTAGATTTCATGGACGTCTTTCATTGTAAGACACGCATGTTATTGGAGAGATTTCGTCCTTGTCATTTGATCCTATCGATTGATAGAAATAGAGTGTTGATTTTTTTGCAATTTAAGTAGGTTCAATACCCGGTTCAAGTAAGCTTTTCAAAAAATCTGTGAGTGCTGTTGGTTAGTGATTCATTCATATTAAGGAAAACAAAAGAATGAATTCTTTTAAGTAAAATTGGCTTCAAAATCTTAAACATATATGGTAGTTATAACCTTCGTGTCCCACTGATGTTTTCTACCTTGTATATATATACAACTTATAAACCCGAAACAGGCTTCTTCTTCATAAAATGTATCAGTCTTTAATATCTAGATTCACAAAGTTAGCAACAAAATAGAAGATCAAATTTAATAGGTATTACAATTTTTGCAGATACATTGTAATTTCGAGTGCGAGTAATGTAACAGTTTGAGTTTGAAAAAAAGAGAAATATAGGCCAGGGTATGTAGGTGAGGAAAGTGGTGGCCCGGTTCCGGGCGTAATGAGCAAACACCCTTCATTATCAGGTTCCGCTACATTAAGCGCGGACATGGCTCGCTTGCGCGCCACTGAAACCTGACACCGCTCTCTGCCTCTGCCTGTCGCCATTCAAACATTGACTTCGAGAACATACCTTGACTTATTTTATGAATCACCTATGTCATTTGATACGTGTATGTAGTTACTACCTAGTTTATATTATTCAAGGAAATTAACATAATATGAAGTAGGCGTCCTATAATACTAAAATTCTGACAAAAGTGTTATTATATAACACTTTAGTGTTTAGAAAACAGATTTTTATGTTCATACGCTTAGTTTTTAGCACTATTATTATTAAAAACGACTTTAAAAAATTTAATACTTGAGTAAAACTCAAATGAAACGGTTGTATAAATATTTTCATACTCTATACTCATAGTGTCATTTGCATTTCCTAATTAGTAAAAGTAAACATGACCTAACCAACTAAAGAAGTAAAAGTATCATAGTAAGGTACTCTCACGGGCTCGACAAAAAGTCAAAACTGTGCTATCATCGTGGGTGTATGTTATTACTACTTCTCTTTAGTATCACATCGAAACACCGTTAAAGAAACACAAGAATAAGCTTAACCTAAATACCTGAACAGTTACTCAAAATAAATCACTTAGTCTTCGAAACTTGTAAAAAACGAATTTACGAGTTGAGCAAAAAGTAAAATATCCGATCGAGTTCAATTGACAGCGGCAGGCAATAAAATGGTGAACGGAGATAAAGCTCGGTCTCCTACTACAGAATCTCTACCGCACTACCTATCTCAAACAGTGCTTATCGGGTTGTAAAGGCTCGTCAGCTGATATCTTGAAAGTCAATGTTCGAGTTGGGAGTCGAATATTCATAGTTGTCTGGTAGGTTGGCAGCGGCAGGCGTGCTAGAGGAGAGCGGGGTATATTCGAGGCGAGGGGCGCGTAGAACAGTCCGCTCATTGATCGGCGGTGCGCAGCATCCCCCGCCGCAGCAGCCGCAGCCCCGCAGCTCCGCGCGGCATAATGCCACTATAACAATCGAACTTCTAATCGTATGTTTCCAAAACACTTCTATCATATTTGTCCCAGTAAGATGATAACCTTATTTATACCTAATAATACGAAATAGGTAATACGTATGACTAACGCAACGAAAAACAATACACATATGTATATTTGTAAAAATGACGTACAAATAACTAACTCACATAGTAAAATTATTTTACTAGCAGGACACAAAGGTGCTGCCAGGATTTATCGAAAAATAGCAATAAATAGATCTGTTACTTTATTTGCTTCGGTCATATCCTGGAGCCAAATGTGTACCGTGTGCAAGCTGGTCGGGAGATGAGACAAGGCCGACGCGAGAGACGGGAGCAGCGGCTGGGTTTCGGACAGGATGGCGAGCGCAACCGGGGCGGGCGGCGCGCGGGTTGGCGGCGGCGGTGCGGCAGGCGCTGCTGAATGGGCGGCGGCGCGGAGCAAGGCGGCGCGGCTGCGCGCCCGCGGCACCTCCGCCAGTCCGCACACCGGCGGCTCCGCTGCCCCACGGTCGGCCGCACTCCGCTGAACAACAATGCTCAAAAACACGCCGTAGCTCGACAAACCACCCCGGACCGCGGTCGGCGATGCTCGAGGATCGGACGGCACACGTAGCCGTCGGCGAGCGGTCGTGAAGAAAGTTTAATATATGAAAACCATAAAAAAATTAAATTTTAAGCTGATCGTATTCAATAGATCCGAATAGAGGGGCGGGAGTGCGGCTTGGGGAGGGGGACGAGGTCTGGTCGGTGGCGCCGGCGGGTGATGGCGCGGTGCGGCGGCGCGGCGGCGGCGGCGCGCGGCGCGGCTGCGGCGCGGCGCTGACATGGGCTCATGGGTAACTAGTAAGT